ATCAAGCGGAGCATCGTCACGTTGTGGTTGTTCGCTCTCACCTCGTTGTATTCGTTCTTGTTGCGCATGTGTTTGATGATGTAGTTCGCTCCGTCCACAGCTGGCTTCATTTCAGAGTACAGCTGATCCGTCACACCTCCGTCATCCTGGGGTTTCACCACTACACACACACACACACACCTCAATTTAAACATCCTCTCTGCAGGTTTTACTGCAGAGTCCACTGATCACTGATGTGCTAAAGCCTGGCAACATCACTACATCTGATTCTGATTTCCTGTCACAATAACGCAGCATCTCATAAACAAACTCAGATGACAGTGCATACATGCTGCATGGGTGACTCGAGTGGTGAAGCCGTGTCTCTCCGATTGTTTCTCAAACATCAGCTCGCTGCGAGACTTGACGGTGTAGTACTCGTCCGCTTTGGCGATGTAACCCACTGAACTCGATCGTCGCGGCAACGCTCCATCCCACGCCGGCTCTGCCTCCGCAGGGTGGGACATGAGCAAGAGCCGAGGCAACCGTTCGAGGAAAAACTGGACGTGGACAGAAACGTTTATTTAAAGAAAGTTTTATATTTAATACATTACTATTACTGTATGGCACTATTACAGTACTACACTGCAGTGCGTCTGAAAGCTGACACTTTAAGTTGGCATATATTGGACAAACAAAAGTAAATCAAATATAAACAAATGCATTTTAATGCCATAAATATTCTTAAAAATGTAGTCATTGAATTAATGCTCAAACACGCCATAAATAGATATTTGTAGCATTTAATTCTGTAGTTATGTACCTTGATACTGATTCACCTATTTTTGCTTTTGAATGAATTTGACTTTATTATTTTATTTTCAGCTGTGCTGCCTCAGCACTGTCAGTGTGAATCAGTGAATACACATCAATAAGCAGCAATGCATTAAAATAAGCTGGGAAAATATTGTGAGAAAAAGATGCAAAGCAAATAAAAAACTCTGCAGCTCGGGTCATAACTTGCACTCTGTCAAGAGCTCATATTACCCCAGTTCTTCAGCAGCTTCACTGGTTGCCCGTAGAAGCCAGAATAAATGTTAAAATCTTACTTCTTACATACAAGTGTATCCATAAATCTGCGCTTTCATATTTGTGTGACCTGCTCCATATCACCACTGTTTCCCGCCTTCTCAGATCATCATCTGCTGTTCATCTTACTGCTCCATCCTCACACCTTATCACTGTGGGGAGCAGAGCTTTCAGTCGCTCT